AGATCGCAACCCTCGATGTTGCACCCGCACCTCGCTCAGCCAGTGAGCGGCCGGTCTGTATGTGGGATCCGAACGCTCGCTCGGCAGGAGCACCACTGCGCTTCCCAAGCGGTGCACTGTAGCAGTGCGCCACCGGGCCGGCCCTACTGGTCATCTTTTAAAGAAAAAAAAAGGAGAGGGCCAGAGCTGTGGTCTGGGTTGGCTGGCCATTGTGCCTTCCCAAAGGCTTCATGTGACAGACACACTGTTTTGTCCCTCTGCCCCTAGGATGAGCGTGGCTCTGCTGCTGACTCTGAGGAGTCCCCGGCTATTGAGGCAATCTGTCTGTTGAGGAAGACCTTCCCTGACCTCCTGGTGGCCTGCGATGTCTGCCTGTGCCCCTACACCTCCCATGGTCACTGCGGTGAGCTCCTTCCCTCCCACCAGCCTTGCTGCCACCCACACTCCCACTGCCCAGTTCTTCCCAGGGTGGGGACAGGCCAGGGCCCAAAATACTCTCCCAAACACAGCCATCTATGCTGCAGGGCTCCTGAGTGAAAATGGAGCATTCTGGGCTGAGGAGAGCCGCCAGCGGCTGGCAGAGGTGGCACTGGCCTATGCCAAGGCAGGTGAGTGAGCCACCAGTAGGGATGGGAACCTCTGAGTCAGGGAGGTGGCAGAGTGGGTAGGAGGGTCCCAGATCTCTGAAGGCACCCTCTGCCCCTTAGGATGTCAAGTAGTAGCCCCATCAGACATGATGGATGGACGTGTGGAAGCCATCAAGGAGGCCCTGATGGCACACGGATTTGGCAACAGGGTATGGGCGGGGAGTGCGGGAGGGCAGGGAAGGGTCGTGGGAGGGTGAGGAGAGAGTCTGGACCAGCCCTGCCCCCGTATCTGCCAAGAATTGCAGAACTGAGGACAGCGTGGGATGAGGCTCTTAGGATCCATCTCAATCTCTACACCTCAGATGGGGAAACCAAGCCCAGAGCTCCAGTGGGACTAGAACCCAGGCCCTCTACTTCCCAGCCTAGGTCCTTTCTCTCCCTGCTGCATCGTCCTGGACATCTGGAAGGGGCTGACTGAGCCTAGACCACCATTGTCTTCCCTTAGGTGTCAGTGATGAGCTATAGCGCCAAATTTGCTTCTTGTTTCTATGGACCTTTCCGGTGAGTGTGATGGGCAGGGTCTGCTCTTAAATCCCTGGTCCCAAGCTGGAACCCATCTAATGACTCTGCTTGGCAGGGATGCGGCTCAGTCAAGCCCAGCCTTTGGAGACCGCCGCTGCTACCAGCTGCCCCCCGGAGCACGAGGCCTGGCCCTCCGAGCGGTGGTAAGTGACCAGGGTTTGAACTCTACCCTTCGTCCCCCTCCCAGGCACTGCCCACACTATACCCTTATCCCTTAGGACCGAGATGTACGGGAAGGAGCTGACATGCTCATGGTGAAGCCTGGAATGCCCTACCTGGACATTGTGCGGGAGGTCAAGAACAAGGTGAGCACAGATCAGAGACAAAGGGGACTTACAGGGATTAGAGAGTTTGTCCACTGACTCTGGGACTTTAGATTAAGAGACTCTGGAATCTTGGAATTGGGAGCAGTCTGCCCCTGAACAGGAATCCTCTCCTCCACTGTGACCTTCTATACCAGGGTTTCTTGCTCGCAGGGGCCTTTGAACAGCTCTTGTTTAACAGTTCAAGACAGGCAGCAGCAGCCACTCAGGGCATGGGGCTCCAGATGGTCACAGATTGGGCAGGAGGAAGGGGCACTGGCAGAGGCACATCCACCCTCCACTTCAACCTGCCTGCCCATTGCTGTTTCTCTGCAGCACCCTGAGCTCCCTCTCGCTGTATACCACGTCTCTGGAGAGTTTGCCATGCTGTGGCACGGAGCCCAGGCCGGGGCATTTAATCTCAAGGCTGCTGTACTAGAGGCCATGACCGCCTTCCGCAGAGCAGGTAAGCAGGCAGGGGTGGGGTTTTTTGACCCATGCTTCAGAGATTGATAAGCACTTTACCCAGACAGGGAAACAAAGTCATGAGTTTTATGACTTTGAAGACCACTGAAGATACTAGTGGTCTAAGCAGACACAGATTGAGGAAGGAATGTGGAACTGCAGAACAAAGCATGGAACTGTGAAGAAAGCAGAGCCCTCTATTACATTTTGGTTGTGAAAACTTGGGCGAGCTACTTCTCTGAAGCTCAGTGTCCTCATCTGTAAAGTAGGGATAAGATACCTGGTGTATGGTTGCCCTGAGGATTAAATGAGATAATAGGTACAATTGGCATATGCTTATCACTCCATAACTGGGAGCTGGTTTTGTTAGTATAGCACACAAGCATGGGAAGGGAACTTGCAGCTTGTCTATTTCCCCCGCTGTGCTTTTTATACTTGGGCAAACTGAGGCCCAGAAAGAGGAAGTGACTTGCCCAAAGTCTACAGCTGACCGAAGCTGGGCTCAGTCTTTATGTGGTGCTGCCCCCAGGCTGTGCCTCTTCATGGTAGCCACCTTCCCACCCAGCCCTCCTCTCCCAAAGATGTGTGCTGAGCTGATGGCCTGCTCCTCCCCTGCTCCCTGGTTCTCTCCCAACACAGGTGCTGACATCATTATCACCTACTACACGCCTCAGCTGCTGCAGTGGCTGAAGGAGAAGTGACGGGGAGAGTGTGCAAGACCCAAGAACTAGAAATTTAAAAAGTTCCTGGGGCCTTGAAGAAGTGAAAACCAAAGTAAATGCTGCTTTTAGAACAGTGCCCTTGTGCCCTCTTCCTGCTCACCTGCTGGTGGGTGCCCAGCAGCCCCAGGTGGTTTCTGCCAGCAGGCTGAATCTCCCCACTTAACAGCCACAAACTCACGGGTTCACCCGAGCTTCCCCGCCCCTCCCCTGGGTCAGCCCTGAGGCTCACCTTCACCACCCCAAGCTCTTTCCTCTGGTGTGGCTTCTCCTTGAAAGCAACCAGGAGTCTTGGGCACAGGCTTGGCGTGGCCTGGGAGAGGGGCTTGGAGCATTAGGGAACAGAAGAGCAGTTGGATCTTGGATCCTTGAAGCTATGGAAAGCTGGGACTTCTGGCAGCAGAGCTGGGTGCTGGTACTGAGGCCTAGATCGATATCCCCAGGTTAGAGTTGAAATTTGCTGTGATTCTGCTGGAAGGCTTCCCTCACAGGCCAGTGGTTACAAGGCTGCCTAAGATCTCCTGTCCTGTGAACCATAAACCCAGAGAAGAATTACTTATTAACGAGCAGAAACATTGCCTGAGGATCAAAATCCAGAATCAAAGAGGGAATTCCCGACAGCTGGAGATGCCACCATGAAAAAGGCTTTTATTAAGAGACACTTTTTGAGGACTGGCCCGTGGCTCACTTGGGAGAGTGTGGTACTGATAACACCAAGGCCCCGGGTTCGGATCCCATATAGGCATGGCTGGTTTGCTCACTGGGTGAGCGCGGTGCTGACAACACCAAGTCAAGGGTTAAGATCCATTTACCAGTCATCTTTAAAAAAATAAGAGAGAGAGAGAGATTTTTTGAGAACCTCTGCTCTGTGCCCAGGCACAGTGCTGGGTACTGGGAACACAGAAGGACAGACCTCAGCTTATCTCTTTATGGAATGTATACAAAGAGAATGGAGGAGACGGAGCAGTTAAAAATTGTGATAAGTGCTTTGAAGGAAAGAAAGGATCTGAAACAGAATAACAGGGGAAGGGCCTCTCTTGAAACAGTGGTTGGGAAGCCCTCCCTGAGACCCCTGAGCAACAAGGAAAGATCTTTACAAATAGTAGATGGAGGCACACCAGAGCCCAACAGAACAGGACATGTGCAGAGACCCAGCAGTGGGAGGAGCTTGGCAGGGCTGTGGGAGCAGGAGGAGGAAGAAGTGGTGGGCAACAGACTGGAGGTTGGAAAGGTGGGCTGAGGCCAGATCCCGCTCTTTGTGGGGGACATGGATTTTATTTTGCATCTGACAGGAAGCCATCGGGAATATCCTACCCAGGAGTTATGTGTGGTCCAGATTCCCATATTATGCTGCTATGGGAGAACTGGAGCAGCAAGAAAGAAATCAGGGTAGTGGCAGTGGAGATGGGAAGAAGCAAATATATTCAAAATACATTTTAGAAATAGAATTAGCAGATTTTGCCAATACTTTAAATCCAGGAAGATGAAGGGGAAGGGAACGAGAGGAAGCAAGGGTGCCTTCTGGGTTTCTGGCCCAAGTAAGCTGATGGGTGGTTTCAGTTCATTTTTCTGAGAATAACACGTTTCCCCCTAGTGAAAGTAAAGGCTCAGCGAAGGAGGGATAGGTTGCACGTCCACCTGCCCATCTGCACGGTGACGGAATCCCACTCTAGGATCAAATCAAGTTCAGTTCAGACCTTAAAGCAAAACAATTCATTTTAAAATTTAAAATTGTAAACTCCTGGCTATTCCTGCAATCAGACCAGTCCCCTATGACTCCTCCTGATAGTCTTCCCCAGAGCTGTAGACGACTCACCTTAAGACCTGATCTCACTGTTTCCTCAGCCTTCTGGAAGGTGGCCAGCCAAAATCAGGACTTGAGTCCCAAAGCTTCACCTTACAGGGAGATTGAGCCTGGACCTGCCACCTAGGGGCCTGAAGCACTGATCTGAGACAAGCCGTTGACGGGCCAGGGGTAGACCAGACCAGAAACTTTAGCTGTCTTGGCTTCTGGGTCTCCAGTCTCTCAGCCCCTGAGCTCATCTCTGGTTAAAATGATTAGTTTGGGGGCCGGCCTGGTGGCGCACTGCTACAGTGCGCCGCTTGGGAGCGCAGCGGCGCTCCCGCCG